CAGAGGACAATAAACACTAAGAACCACAAGTGGCCAAAGCATAGAGAATAAGATTCTACAGAGGGTGCTTGGACAGGACTCCAGTATTAAACTTTGCCCATCCAGGGCTTGGGGACATTGTAGAAGAGGGGCAGAATGATTATAAGAGCCAGGGAGGAGGTGCACAACCACATGCATGAAAGTTTTACAGGTTCCTGGAGCCGTGTACATAGGAAATTACAACAATGGTGAAAGGATACACTAGAACTATATAAACACAAGCACATGAAATCCCAGCACAGAAACATGAAAGTGCATAGCAGGTCCCAGTCTTAGTCAAAGAACTATTGGCTTTCAGGTAGTGACTCTAGACAGGCTGACTAGACCCCAGTTGATGAACATGCACTGAAGGACATCAGGGACACTAACTCTATTGGATCAACCTTAACATAAGTGTCAGAATGCATGAAATCCTTGGTGGGGGGGGGGGGCTGGGGGTGGGGGGCTATGGGAGGGTGCCGATGGAGAAGCAGGTATAAAGATGATTAAGATGTTCTGTATGAGATACACAAAAATTCAATCAAAAAATCAAAAAACTCTAAAACACAACCCTCTGTCTGAAAATTCTTGTAGAACTGGCCATGTGAGACAGAGTTGAAAAAGTTTCCTCAGGACAGAAGGAAATTGGTTCCAACTAGCTGTGTTAGGTTCTAACCACATACTTGTCAGTTGAACTCTGCTGACAGAGACACAGAGAAAAGTCAAGGATTAAAATCCATATTTTCCTTAATAATCCATCAGGTTCTACATCAAAACTGCAACTGAAGTGAAAACAGACATACAGAGTGTGGTCCATACAGTGAAGTCCTTAAGCAGGCAGAGTTCTAAGATGGCCAAACAGCAATTAGTGACATAATCAGCATACTAGCTGATATGGTTTCTATAGTAACCTTGAGAGAGCTTTGGCTAGGCCCTATAGAATGTGCATTTCGTGAGTGCAATCGCTTGGTGTGCTGGTTTGAATGAAAATGTCCTACAAGGGCTCCAGGTATTTGGACATTTTTTGTGGGGATAGTTAGTGGTGGCGCTGTTTTGGAAGGTTAGGAGGTGTGGCTTTGCTGGAGAAAATGCATTCCTGGGGGGTGGTAGGCTCTGAGAGTTCCCAAGCTTTGCTGGATTTCTAGTCACCTTCTGCTTCTTGTACCTGCTTGAAGACGTGACCACGTTACCTTCTCCTCCTGCTTCAGTTTTTCACCATGCCTCCCTGCCCCGTCGGATTCTGATCCTTCTAGAACCTGGAACAGTAAGCTCAAGCAAACTCTTCTTTCTATAAGTACCCTTAGTCATGGTGTGTTATCATAGAAACAGAAAAGTAACTAATACAAAATAACCAATGCATGCAGAGACATTCCTTCTAAGGTGAAGGATAAGTTGTTGCACCTGGCCCCTCCCTTCAACAAGAAAGAAACACAACACTTAGTGGGCCTCTTCAGATTCTGGATGCAGCATCTCCTCACCAAGGTGTGCTACTACAACCCATTCATCAAGTGACTCAGAAGGCAGCTTGGAGTTGGGACTGGGATAGGAAAAGGTTCTTCAGCAGGTCCAGGCTGTTGTTCTGGCTGTTCTGACACTTGGACCACATGATCCAGAGACCAAATGCTGCTTTAGGGGACAGTGGCAGGTACAGATGCCAGTTGGAGTCTCTGACAGACCCCCATAGGGGAATCAGAGCAGAGGCTGTTTTGATTTTGGAGCAAAGTATTATCTTCATCTGCAGACGGCTACTCTCCTGAGAAACAGATCTTAGTCTGCTATTGGGCCTTATTGGAAACTGAATGTTTGACAATGAGCCACCAAGATACCATGGGTCCTGAGCTGCCCATCATGAGCTGGGTGTTATCTGACCCATCAAGCCATAAAATAGGACATGCACAACAACAATCCATAATCAAATGAAGGTGTTATATACTTGACCATGCCCGAGCAGGCCCAGAGGGCACAAACAAGTTACATGAAGAAGTTGCCCAAATGCCTATGGCTCCTACTCCTGTTCCAATGCCATCTGCTCTCAAGCATATACCTATGGCTTCATGGGGTGTGCCCTATGATCGGTTGACTGAGTTTGAGAAGACTAGGGCTTGGTTTACAGATGGTTCTGCACACTTTGCAGGCACCACTCAGAAGTGGACAGCTGTGAAATTACAGCCAATTTCTGGAACAACCCTGAAGGACACTGGGGAAGGAAAGTCTTCACAGTGGACAGAACTTCGGGCCGTGCACATGGTCGTGCATTTTGCTTGGAAGGAGAAATGTCCAGAAGTGTGATTATATACTGATTCGTGGGCTGTAGCCAATGATTTGGCTGGATGGTCAGGGACTTGGAAGGAGCATGATTGGAAAATTGATGGGAAAGACATTTGGGGAAGAAGTATGTGGACAGATCTCTCCAAATGAGCAAAGGATGTGAAGATACTTGTGCCTCATGTAAATGCTCATCAAAAGGCAATTTCAGCAGAGGATGAGTTCAATAATGAAGTAGAATGTATGACTCGTTCTGTGGACAGCCTTTCTCCAGCTATCCCTGTCATTGTCCAATGAGCACATGAACAAAATGGTCATGGCAATAGAGATGGATGTTATGTGTAGGCTACACAGCATGGACTCCCACTAACCAAGCTGATCTAACTACAGCTACTCTAAGTGCCAGATCTGCCAACAGTAGAGATCACTATTTAGGCCCCAATATGGCACTCCTCCCCAGGGTGACCCACCAGCAACTGGTGACAGGTTGACTTGGACTCTATCCTGTAAAATAATCTAATAAATCCATATATATATATATTCGTTTTATCAGTTCTGTTTCTTTAGAGAATCCAACACACTCATTGTCTCTGCACATGTGTTTGTCATCCTTCAGCATCTCCAACTTTCCATTTCCTTGTATGGTCAATAAAAGGTGAACAGTGGTATCCATCACCACTGAGCTTCCCTCATTTAAACTGGAAGTTTGGCCTTCAGGGTGTCTGTCAGCTGACATTTGATAACACCAGTCCCCAGCTTTATTCTCTGTAGTTTACAGAAACTCAATAAGATTTGGAACAGTCTATTTTTAAATCTCCGGTGAATGCAAGTTTTTACTTTTTTTATTCCATCAGCATTTCACCTGAGATCTGCTAGAAAAACCAGGCTGAGAGCTTTCAGTTAGCTTTCTTTATGAAATCATTCACAATAAGTCTAGACAACACAAACAAAAACCATCATGAGCAAAACACTGACAAAAATTCACCAACCATCTTTCGGGGATGTGAGATGCTATGTAATTATTCTCATATCATTTTACTTTTACTTTCTTAAGTTACATTTTTGTGTGTAATCATTATTCTATGAGAAGTAGAGATAATATTTCTTTCTTTGTCTCCTGAATTTTCTTCTCAGACAGGCTTGTATTTTTGTGCTTATCTTGAAAGACTTCCTCTCTTGGAATTAATGATCTGTGTATGCCTGCTGGTTCTACTTTACAATTGTTGTCAGAGAAAATACAGAGAAGCAAAGACACAGTCTCTTCTCATTTGAAGGACTTAGCACTAATTATTTTGAAACTTCACATCCATGCAAATGTGTGACTCATGTTACGTAGAAAATAATGTGATTTCATACATCTCAGGGATATGTCTGAATTATATTCATACATCCCCTGACTCAACAGACCCGATAGAGAATCTTGCATTTGACTAGCGTTGTTTGGATGCTGGTGAAAATATAAAAATTAAAGAAAGAAAGAAAAACAATGGGGAGAAGGAAGGAAGGTAGGAATAGAGGAAGAAACCCCGGCTTTATATTCAAATAGCTGGAAAAGAATGCAAAAATATCTACGAAAATTAAAGACATAAAATTGCTAAAAACTCTAGCAGTGAATTGTGTGCTGAACAGGAAGAAAGGATTGCCAGAGGGCTGCTTAAATGTCTAAATAGGGAATGTTGAGCAAGTGACTATTAATTAGGACACACTGCATATTTAATGATGCTATCTGAATGGTCTCTGCAGTCAGGCTGCTGGGCGAACGCTCTCCACCCTGCTCTCTCCATAAACTGCCTCTCCATTTTTCTCATCTGTCAGATAAATTGCATGAAAAAGAATATACCTGTAATAATATGTTGTAAATATTAGTGGAAAAGCATCCAGTCCATGATTCAAACAGGCCAGTACGTAGCGAGTTATTAGTAACTGTTGGTTATATCAATCATAGCACTTTAATTTTGAGATCAATGCAAGACTTGCTGACTTTAGAAGTAATGAGAACATGTAGATTTAGCAAAATATTTTTAAAGCTAGAATAAATCCCCTGAGATAATTACTTTGAGCCGTCTTCTCATTGTTCCCGTTTTTTAATTATCTAGCATGGTTTTGGTCCTATCTCTGCATTCATAAATTTTAGTCCTATGTGAGTTCTTCCATCCAATAAACACTCATGATTTTCAAGCTATTATAATGATCATTAAATAATATAAATATCCATTTGTAACAAATTTCTTGATGGTTCAAGAATACTATGTTGACTAAATGTCCTATTATTTGTAAGCAAATCTCTTTTATGGGGCTCTTATGTTGATTTGTATTTTAATTTTCACATTAAATACTATGACGGAGGTTTTTATAATTCAGTTTTCATATGGTTAACTCCCATCTTAGAATTCATGCCTTAGAGGTTGAAATCTCTGTCAACTGCACCGTGCCTTTATAAACCCATGGAATACAATGTTAAGCTGTAAAATGAAACTCAACTATAAAATATTCAAAGCCGACAACTAAAAGTTCATTACAGAGGATTATCTTGGACTTAAAAATGTTGAAACTAAAGTGGATACGTATTTTCACATTTTCCATATAGTAGTGATCATTCAACTCTACAGATATATTTCAATACTATAGGAAAAGCAGGTGGACAGACCTGTGCAAGTCTCATTTGTTACCCAAGTAAGACAAGTTCATGTGGATAAATCCAGGTTTTTAGTGTCATTATCTGACATACTCTGTATAAACTTAGAACTAGGGGCTGGAGAGATGGCTCAGCAGTTAAGAGCATTGGCTGTTCTGACAGAAGACCCAGGTTCAAATTCCAGTACCACATGAGAGCCAACAACCTTCACCAACTCCAGTTCCAGAGAAGCAGACACCCTCTTCTCTACTCAGTGGACACTGCACAACACGGGTGCCCTTGCATACATGCATGCAATACACTCATTCCCATAAGAGAAAAATAAATTTTTAAAAAATATTTTAAACCTATTGGAACTAAGAACTTTTAAATGGGGATTGATGGAGGGTGGGTCTATGCTGAGCTTTCTGAATCAATTAGAGAAGCATATTTTTTTTCTCTGTAGAAAGGGAGACAGGTAGACAGTCTTAGTTTCATTTTTTCTTTCAAAAAAAAAAAAAAAGAAATGCATTTCTCTTTTAGACCATGAACTACTTTAAAGGTTCTAAACTAAAAAATATACCTTAAAATCTATTATGGGATGTAACGTATTCCCATTTGGATGATAATTATATTTAAGTTGGATTTATGAATTCATAGGTCCTCAGATGTCTAAAGAGTGACACTATTTCAAAGCAACTAACCCTAGGACACTCCTTCCTCCTAGCATGCTGAGCTTTTAGACCATGAACTACTTTAAAGGTTCTAAACTAAAAAATATACCTTAAAATCTATTATGGGATGTAACGTATTCCCATTTGGATGATAATTATATTTAAGTTGGATTTATGAATTCATAGGTCCTCAGATGTCTAAAGAGTGACACTATTTCAAAGCAACTAACCCTAGGACACTCCTTCCTCCTAGCATGCTGAGCATGAACATGGGTCCAGCGTGTGGGGCCTAAATCCATAGAGGAACCAAACCTAGTGACCCTGGTCCTGGGAGAATATCAGACACACAAGTACCTTCTTTCCCAAGATCAAACTCTAACACTCAGCCAGGACCTATGGACAGTGACTTCATGTTACCCCTGATGACCACCACAGCAGCACTGTGATTTCAGAATTTTATCTCTTTCCTATCACAAAAATGTATCAGAATGCTGAGCTGGGCTCCAGATACTCAGAGCCTTAAAAGTAAAGACATTTGCATTTCTTTCGCTGCTCCTAATTTCCTTCCATCTTCCCAGTTCTCAGATCTTAGGCAAGAAGTTCCCGTGCTGAGCACAATGCGTCAGCCTCAGGACCCTTGAGACCTGGCTAACAGTGGAAGCAACATTGCTCTCTCAGACCAGACATTCTCATGGTCTCTCAT